CTCCGCTATTATAAGGACAAAACATAGTGTTGTTCGGGGCGATTATGGGGTTTGTAGGGTCTCTCTTTCATATGGCCCGAACAACACTATGTTCTGTCCTTATAATAGCGGAGTCAATTTTTCTGGTGGTTGATAAGAAAAGCTGTTTCCATGAGCTACAGGAAAAATCCACCCTACTATTATAAGGACAGAGCATAGTGTTGTTTGGACCATATGAAAGAGGAACCCTACAAACCCCATAATCGCCTCGAACAACACTATGTTTTGTCCTGATAATAGTGGAGAAAACCTTTCCTGATTCATTTTTATACCTAAATTTAAAATCTCAATATCTCCCTCTAGGCAAGCCAACAGCCGCTAATATTTAAACCTTGTTAGTTTGGCGGTGAGAGCTTTCATTTGACGCCAAAATATCAAGTATAGCTCGGTTACAATACAAATACCTCCATTGTAAGTAGATATATTCTCGACAAATATCAATGTATTTTTTATGAAGAACAACGTTCTACCCTTCTAATATTGGAAATTTTTAGTGATTCATCAGAAACTTCGGAAATTATTAGGAAATTTTATTAAATACAAAAATATTTGTTCTATGTGCGTGCCAATGTAGATTATTGAGAAGACACTACCTTTTAAAGTATAGGTGATTTCTAAAACTAATAACATTTTAGAGATTAAGGTCATTCTGTACAAATAACACTACATTGATAACTATGTGTAATAAGAATAGTAATTTCAGTATTTAATAGAATTTCCTGGTAATTTCTCAGAATAGCTCGATCTTTGATCTAAATTCTTTGTATGTGTTTCAGTACTATCACAGGTTTCTTAATGATATTTCTATAATTCTTTTTCTATTTAAAAAAAAAAAGTTTTATTGTAGTTGAATACTATATTATAATTCAATCAGAAATTTGTTATTGGTATTGAACGAGGTTTCGTTATTCCTCGTTAACTAACTTCCGCTTTTTGATAAATTTTGGAAGTTACCCGTAAATTTCCGTATATCTTTTTTTGATACATTCTTTTGTTGTGTTGAAAATTTCCATAAAGTTCGAAATTAACTCTTTTGGAAATCTCAAACATATCATCAAAATTCTTAATTTCAAAAACATAACGAAAAGAAAATAACTCTACTATTGAAAATTAAGCACTATGATGTTTTAAATTATATCCTGATGTTTTAATTCTCATGTATGATTTAGGTCGTATATCTGTCAATCAGTGGTGTGATATTGTTTCACGTGTTCTTGATTTACATTTACCATGGCGAACACTTAAATCCCGACTTGTTGAATCAGATTCTGACGGATCAGTTTTATATGAATCAACATTTCGTTGCAAAGAATTACGATTCACATTGAATGCTCCAATCAGTGAAGTAAGAATTTCACAAAAAAAACACAAGTTTTTTTTTCTTTACATATGTCTTCTTTTATTAGAGACGAACAAGTCTTTGCCAAGCTATTTATCGAAATAAGGATTTACTTGAAACAGTCTTTCGAGCTATTGATAAAGATAACTCAGGTTAGTTTTGTTGTTTTTTTTTCTCTTTTATCGAAATTTCTTTCTTATGTTTTATTTATATAGGTGTTATTTCAATGAAAGAATTTACTGATGTATGTACGTCGCTTGGTAATCATAATGGATCGAAATTTGATGAAAAACAAATCATGGATTTAGCAGCTAGTATTGATCTCGATAAAAACGGTGTTATTGATTTCAATGAATTTCTTGAAGCCTTTCGTATCGTTGATATTGCTGATCATTCTGACGATGAAAATTAATATTTCCATGTGTTTGTTCTTACTTTCTTCTTTTTTTTTTTTTTTTTTTTATCAAAATAAAGTAAAATGTAGAATGGTTCGATTCTAGAACAAAGTGTCTGACAATTTGTTCTGTTTTATATTAAATACACAAAAAAATACAATTCTTCCTTTTTTTTTTTCTATTTCTTATCAAAAATAAAATGTCTAACTTGATATTTATTATTATAATTTTATTGAATATTTTCATTGAACAATATCAAATGGCTGTAGGAGAAAAAAAACGAATATTTACAAGTCGTTCTGAAGGTGCTCTATTAGGTCATTATTTATTTTTAGCTGAAACAACATATATATCAAATACACCAGGTTTTTTAATAATAACAACAATAAATGAACATGAATGTAAATGTATTTGTTCAACAAATAAACAATGTCTTTCAATGACTTATCATTTATTAGATTCAACTTGTACATTATACGCAAATGATCCATGTGATACACGAAATTGGCAAACAAATTCTGATATAAACTTTTATATAAATATAAAACGTTTAAAATATCGTTTATTTGAAAAACCTGAACAAGATCAATTATTAAAACGTTTATCAAATTCATTATTATGTGGAAATATGAATGTATTTAATTCTGAACGACGATGGTTATTTGTTGTTAAAATTAGTGGACAATCAAAAGTTAATTTTAATGGTTTAAATTTTAATAATGCACCAAATCAAGTTGCACCAAGTCCATGGTATACAACACCATATGAAACTATTTGGAATAGTATTCTTATGCATCAATGGTAAAGTCGACAATGAGTATTGTCATTCATTATTCAAATAAGAAAGGTGTAAGAAGATGTACCAGAGATGAGTGTCAAAAACATGTGTGCTGCATATGAAAATTTCAAAAGCAGAAGACATGACATGCCTCGCATAGTTGCGCTTCTGTTAATGATAAGTATTTATGTCAATAGAGATGGNATCCCTTTTCAGCTAAAAAAGTAAGAATTTAAAAAAAAGGACTCTATAGTGACCTGCATCTCGATGCGCTCTTTCCAACAAAAAAAAATTTAAATATATTGCCCGAGCCGGGACTGAGAAATCCTTGTACCACAGCCTCCCCACTTCAGCCCCAACATATGCTCAAAATTTCAGCCCATTTGAACGTTTCTGGGCTGAGATCGATTTTTGAGGAGGGGGGGGGGCTTAAATGATCCTAGACACCCTGAAAAAAATCAGTACTATGAAATTTTGTTCATAGGAGTTATCTGCAAAAAGACATCGTTAGCAACGTGATGAAGTACGAATGCACGATCGAGAAGGCCATTTCATAACCGAACGAAAAGTTTGGAAACGATTTCAAATCGTTGCTCAGAGTCCACGGATTATCATAAGACAATATTTATTGTTTTTATACTTAATAGGATCTATAGAGGACCGATTTTTGGAGTCTGATCGTGCTGAAAATTTTATCATAGATGAAGTTCGAGCTTCAGAATCTATGTTGAAGTTTTCAGATTTTTTAATCGTATGATTTGGGAGATATTCACTAATTACTTTTTAATTAATAATCATGTGAAACAGCAAAATTTTTTACATAAGTGTATGGTAAAATAAATTATTCAGAAGAAAAGCCTTTGTAGAGAATAAAAACCAAATGAAAGGTATCTATGTCCCGTTTTGCGTGATTTTGCATATATATGAACAAGATAGCTCCAGTCGCGTACGGGCCAAGATGGGATCCGAAATCTGGATGGACTTCGCGATCGGTATAGAACGCCAGACCAGGACCAACATTTTTTTCATAGGGAACAATACTTTTTATGATCGTGCAAAACTTGTATCGACTAAGTCTTAGTGGAACTCGACCGGAACCGAAAACAACTCGTCTCGTTCATGTTTAATTGCAGGAAAATATAACACAAGCAAAAATTTTTCTTATCGTAGATTTTATCGAAATTTCTTTTCGTATCCAATCAATGAAAGAATGATGGAATATTGAAGAGAACATAGAGCACTGTTTGTAGTATTCATACTTATAAAGAGAAATGCTCTTCGAACTTTCCATACCGCATAATATCTACATCATTACTTTTACTATACTCTTTAAGTATTATCTCTTATAATATTTACCTCAAAATATGGACCACGATATTGTGTTAATAATTTAATACATGATTCATTATTTTTACAATATTCAACATAATAAATATGAAATTGTTTAGCCTAAAAGAAAAATCGTAAAAATATAAAAATTTTTATTAACTTAATTTTATTTACCCATGTAACAAAACAATGGCCAACATCTTCAGGACTATCTTCATATCGTTCTAAATCTTTGAGAAATAAACTAAAATAGAAAAAAAAAGAAATTTATTGTATTTTCATTTAACAACAAAATTCAAAAATTTACTTCTTATGAAAATTTTGAATTTCTTCAATATTTAAAAATAATATTGATTCTTTATTTCGTAAAAATTCAGGTACATCTTCTGGATGTTGACGCATTTCACCAAGATAATACTACAAATAGAAAATAAGAATCTTATTTAATATAAACCAAAAATATTTTTTGCAACTTACTTGAATACATTTACTTAAACTATCAACATAAGCACGTTCTGTATTAAGTAATTCATTGAAAATTAATCTTAATTTAGATAAAAAAAAATTAATTAAAATAATTTTTATTGTTTTTGTTTTTACTCTCGTTGTTTAGCTGCTTTTCGTTTTCCTTCATTTAATTCTTGTTGTTCTAATTTTTCTTCTAAACTTGAATCACTTTTTCGACCAGCTTCTTTATCAATTTCCTTTATTTAAAAAAATAAAATCATAAAATTCATTTTTTTTGTTCGACAAGAAAAACAAAAGCATAATACAAACTTCTTTATTATTAATTCTCATGATTTTTTGAAAAAAATTATTAAAACCAGAATCAAGTCGATTACATGTATCTTTAATAAGTGGTGCAAATGAATGTGAACGTTCGACTAATACATCAGCACGTTCAACTAATTTTCGTACCATTGTTTTCTTTTCCTAAAATGAAATAAACATATTGATTTTTCTTTCAAAAATTCTCTTTGCTACATGTTGACTATATTATTCATCAGCAACATGATTTCGGAAGAGTAAAATACGTATATTTCGAGGTACTTTGAAAAATAAATTAGCGCTAAAGATCTTTGTTCTAAGAAGTTATCATATTCTTCTTCAAAATCTCTAACGAAAGAACTATTCGAGCCGATACCTGTTGTCTGAGCTCGTATTAGGTTCACAAGAAGGTTTCGGTATGATTAGAAAAACTCTAAAACGGTTCGTACTTATAGGTTTTTCTAATCTTATCTTTAACCTTCTTGTAACCGTAAAATGACTTCAAGTGAAGAGTATCCATTCGGATGGTTCCTTCTTAAGACAAAAATTTTTGTTTCGAGATTCAATAAGATCTCTGGAAAACCAACAAGGTTGTTATAATGTTCATTATAAATGCGATTCGTATCATAAAGTCTATCCTGAAGTTTTCTCATATGGTTAGAAAGACATATAGTCAGTTGAAAGAGCCTAACATTATTACATATGTTTATGGTAAAAGAACTTATTCAGAAAAATAACCTTTGTAAAAAGTGAAAGTGAAATGAAAGGTGGGCAATATTCCATAGTTTTGCTACAAATAATATTCAGATCTATTTCTGCTAATAGCTATGCATAACGGAAAGTTCGGTAGGAATGAAAATATGAGAAATTGTCTTGCTATTCAAGATAACATGTGTAGAATTGCGCTTCTAAACATGAATGTTAATAGGTTTTACTTAACAAAGCGAACTTTTCATCGATACATAAAATGTCAGATTTTGAAAGAGAAAGATGCTTTAATGTTCGTGCGTTTAGAATCTCTGTTTTGATTTTCAGAAACATGATTCAAGTTTTAGAAATTTATGATTTTTTTGACACAAAATTTTTTTAAATAATATGATGAAAGTCGCATTGAAAAATAAAAAAAAGATGATTTTAAAACATTTTATCATTCTGTTTAGTAAGTAAAATTAAAATCATTTTTAGACAGTTTCAAATATAGGATTTATCACTTTTTTGTTTTGAAGCTCTTAATAAGAGCGAACTTCTATCCTATGAATTTTATACATATATATGATTGTAAACTCTATTGAAGACAATGAATAGAGTTTATCATTAAGATCGTTCGTTATATAAAAGCATCCTTCTGAATAACATCTCAACAGAAAAATGTGAAGCTTCCAAGACAAAAAGATTTCGATTATTAGAAAAAAATATCGTTCTCATAGACGTAAAATTCTCGTTTTTACTACTCTGTTGAAGATACCGAAGTCACTACGGATAAAAATTAATCCTCCTCTGTCTTCGACGTAATACGCACTTCTTTCATACATGCTATTGCGAGTGTCTACCTAGTTGTATATTAATTCTTGAAATATTTCTAGTAGTTATACTACGAACTGTATACAAAGTAGGAAAAAAAAATTGAAAAAATCTGAAAATGTTGAGTCAAGAAATTGGATAAATTCCTTTAATTTAGCTTTGTCGGAAACTGGATATATACAAAATAGTTCGACACTAATAGATGTATTCTTATGATTATTTCCTTACTTCATTGTTTTGACTTCTCACTATGCCTATTGTAAAGTATTCAGACACAAGCAAAAGTCTTTTGTCTTTTATCACCTAAGTGATCTTTTCTTCTCTATGTTGAAGCAATTTGGATCTATCAAAACATAGATATTATCTGTTTTAACGATCTCTCTTGAATGTTTTGTTGACAGATATGATAGCTAGTAATGTTCTACAACAAGCCTAATAAATTAAACGTTCCTTTTTCGTACTGAATACGAACCTTAAGGTCATTATTCGAACGTAAGCTGTAATGAACAGTTCAGTACACGTCTTTTCCAAAACTACTTATCACTAAAGGGTTATTGATAGATTATTAAATATATCATTCTCTTTGTATTTAAACTAGACCAATAAAAAAAAACGTTCTTTTTATCAATAGAAATATCATAAGGCATGGTTTTTTTTGTTTTCCTAAACTTACAAATCTTTACATTTAGGGTTTTTATAAGTACAGTGACTCAAGAAAATTGATCATACAAATTTCATTTCAATTTTTTCCCTAATGGTAACGGATTTAGTGAAAAACAGGAAAAATTCGAAAATGGAATTTACGATGAAAAGATTTTTATGAAAAAGACAATAGTGTTCAGCTTTTATCTACGTTTTCCTTTTCTACCCATTCGATGGTAATTAGCATAAAAAGTTCAAATAGCGATTTCAATAGAGAAATTTGTTTCCAACAAAGATTTGAGGTAAATAAAACGTTCGCACTATTTCCAAAACCTAGTTTTTCAATATCCTGAACTTCAAAATAAATTACATAGAATGATAGAACAAAGTCTCTGAAACAGTTTATCAGGTCTTCAATTTTCTGAACCACATCATTAATCTCCGAGCTTTCTAGGACATTTTTTAACGGAACTACATCAATTTTAAGAATATCTCAAAAGTGACTGTTTTCGCTATTTCCTATGGGAAAAATGACTTTAATGATTATCATAAAACTCATGTAGGTCAATCAAAAAATGTCATACAAAGCTCGAAGATATCTTTTACTTGTTCTATCATCCTATGTAGTTTATTTTTAGATTTGAAATGCTAAAAAAAACGAGTCTCTCTATTCAAATCATTTTATTTAGATTCTTAATATTGGTTCCTATAACGGGACAAAAAAAATCGAAATTAAATCTCTATAATCATTTTTTTTTCTAGAGTCGCTTTTACATATATTCGAAAAATTTAATAAACAAACCTTAAGTGCACGAACAAAATCCATATAACCATCATCATTAATATCTAACTCTTCAAGTTTTGATACGAAACATTCATCATGTTCATCAATCCATACAAAAACTTTATCTGTATTACGTTTAAATGAAATATATTGTAAATATTCATCAATTATTTTTTTTCTATAATGCCAAGCATTTAAAACTGTATCTTCTTTATTTTTTAATATTGTTGAAACATCTTTATATAAAAAAAAAAAATTATATATTTAATAATAAAAACCTTTTAAATATTTAATTACTTTTAATTTTTTGTTCAAGTGGTTTTAAATAAGCTTCCGGTTTTATTAAATTAGCTGCATTACGTAGTGCATATTTATGAAATAAATCTGATTTTTGACGAGCAACTGTACATGCCTAATAAAAAAAAGAAAGACTAATTTTCTTATTGTTTTTAATTTAAAACAATACAAACTCGTAAGAAACTATGTTTATTTTCATCAAGTTGTTCTAAACGATCAGCTAAAATTTTTTGTATTTCATCATCATTATAAATTTTTAATTTTTCATGTATTTCTTCATTAGTACGATATTCACGTTCAAGTGTATCTAACATTTGTGAAACCTTAAATTAAATTAAATTCATTTAAATAAAGGAGAATAAAAAAAAATCGAACACAAATATGAAATATTTACTTGTTCAGATGATTTATAAAAAATAATTTGTGCATTTATTAATCGTAAACGATCTTCAAATTGTAATTGAACTTTTTGTCGTGCTGATATTAATGTATTTATTAATTCACTTGGACCTGATGATGAATCATTATTTGATATAACAGTAGATAATTTTTCTGTTTTACGTTGAAGAATATCAATACGTTCACAAATTCTCTATAGAAATTATTATAAAATTAAATTTATTTAATTAAAAACAACTTTTTTTCTCATATATAAGGAGTACAGAAATTATTCATATTTTTCCGCTACCGTAAACAGCTAGAAAGAATTCAAATAGAAGGTTTTAAAAATTGATTATCAGGTTTTCCAAAAGACAAGGACTTTAGAAAACCAAAAACGGCTAGTCGTAAATATAATTTTCATAGAACGATAAAGCAAAAAAAAATCTCTACAAAATGAGACGTCTATGAGATTTTATTACTGGTATACAGCAATCTTCCGAAAGCTCCTAAAGTAATATTTTTTCCAATTTCTTATAGAAAAACTATATTTTTTGGTCTTCAATCAATTTTCTATATCTCACCCAAATAAATGTTGTAGAGAATCGTTTACTTTATTGTTCTCTGTAGTGTAAACAAAATAATATTTAAAATTAAGACTTTAGGTTTTCTGAAACCTTATCTTTACGAATTTGATAATCATTTTTATTTTCTTATATTCTTGTAAGAAATTTTTCTTTTTTCCTCCTAATATTTATACCAGTGGAAAAAATAAACCTTGTTAAATAATTTTGTTCTTCATTGTATCAATTAACTGTTTACTTTTACCCTATAGATTCTTTTTAATATGTCCCAAATGTCTAAGAAAAATATATTGTTCATTAGGGAATAAACTCAATGATAAACAGAATACTTTCTTGACCTAGAATTAAGTTTTATTTGTTTTTCTTCTATGAAAGAAAACTTTGAAATAAATTCAAAATAAAAATTCTATTCAACATTTTAGCTTCATATCATAATAGTGAAAATACAAACATTTTTTCCTTGCTTTTCAAAAAAATGATGTCACTACTCTTGAATAAAATTTCTTAGTTCATATTCGATAAGAGTATAAAATCATAGCTTTTGAAATAAACATTGTTCAATCAGGAATAACAAATTATATTAATAAAATCAATTACATTATATATTTCGAATTTAACCTAATGAGGGGAAAATACTTGACTGAAGGTTCACTTTTAATTGGCTTCATACTACTTAATAGAACTTGATGATATGATCACAATGATATAAAACATTTGTCTTCATAGATTGTCTTAGAGGAGTTACATCCAAGTCAATTTCAGCAAAATTATTATTTTTAAAGACATCGTAATTAAAAGCTTTATCACATATCTCATTTTGTTTTAATAGTTTGCATTCTATTTAATTATTTTCTCTTATGTTTATGTGAAAGAGTGCAACTGATAAGACATGTACTTAAAACATGTACTTTTAATGTATATCATAAACAAATAAACATATAATCGAAATTCGATGAAGTTTGAAAAATAAAATAGTTGAATTTCGTACATTTACTGTACTAATGCCATTGAAATATTCAAAGTATAGGTCTTCTATTTAGACTGATTGTATGAATGTGTGTACAATCGTTTAATATTAAAACTTGGAAATTGTAATTTATTGTTATATTTCTTATCTTAAGATAATTTACCGAATTTCGCAATGACAAACTTTTTGAGAAGAGTACTTTATGTCATCATGATCAGTTCATCGTTCTCTATAAATTAGAATGAAGTTCATTGAAAACGGAGGCTTACACTTTGTGACCTCGCTTTGTACGCAAAAACAAAGTATTTCCGTCTTTCAGGATAAGATAATTCGAAAGACAAAAAAAAAAAACATCAACTGTTGTTATTTTATATTTGTTATCACCGATCAGAAATATCCCTAGATCGCCAGGTCTGAGAAGAGACAAGTTCTCCCGACCCCCTCGCTTTTTTTTTTCTAATATGATCACATAATCTTACATCAACAAATGGTTTTATATCTTCATGATCCCGATGGAATTTTTCAGCATCCGTTAAACTAATCGCTAATGTTAAATTTGATGCTAATTTTGCTTCAAAATTATTGATCATTATTTTAATCTAAATTTTATAAAAAAAAAAAAAAAAATAGTTTTTAAATTTTTTAAAATTATTAAAAATAAAAATAAACTATTGATGTCTTACTTCATTCCAATCTCTTTCAAGTCTTACAAATTGTACACGCCATAGAATAAGTTTTTGTTGTTGTGTTGCCAATTCTGATAATTTTTGTTCACGATCGCTCATTACTAATATTAAATTACGAATTTGATCTGGTGAAGGTATTAATGCTTGTTGTTGAGTTGAATTTACAGAATTATTAGTTGATTCATTAATTATTGTTGATGATGATTGTTGTTGATCAAGTTTTATTTTAAAATCTTGTGATTTTTCCATTAACTATTCAAATAGAATAAAAACAATATATATATATATATATATAAGACAAAAAGAATGAAAGACGATAGATAATATATTCATCGATTTATCTATAGGGGGTGACAGTCATCTGTGATAACAAACATATACAAGCAGAAGAAGTCAAGAAAGAAAAAAAAAAGTAAATCTCTTGAGATTACTTACACTGAGCAAGTCTCTACCACGTTGCACGACTTGAGCAACTCGTGTATGTATATGTTCTTGCACTTGGGCCCAATCATCCACTTTACCAGTCGTTCGATCGCTACTATGATGATGAGAACGATGTCGTGTTGTCGATGTACCTCCATTAATGAGCGTTTGTAAAGCTAATGGAAGAGCTGGTGGAATGATAACAGCACTAACAGAATTGGTCGATTGTTGTTGTTGCTGTTGTTGTTGCTGCTGTTGTTGTTGTTGCATTTTGACCAATTCGTGTGACCAAATATCGAGTAAATGTGACACCTTGTGAAACGAAGACAAAAAATTAGGGTAAATATTACAACGCTGAAATAAGTGTGACTTTTTATGATTATTATTATTATCATCAATGTATAGGTATCGCGCTTAGCAAGAGAACAAGCAAGGTGAATCGAATGTATGTATATATGTGTGAATGTACACGAATGTTGCTCACGTGGACATATACAGAAGCAATCGTTCGTCTCTTCTCGTTTTCTCTCTCTCTCTTTTTTTCTCTTTTCCCTGTCTCGAAATTAGGATATATAGCATTGATAGTACTCTTCTTCTTTTTTCTTTTTGTAGTCAATGCTGTTGTTTTTGTTGATGAGGATTAGTGACAAGTACTACTGTAATGCATACAATAAGTCCATTTATCACTGCACTCTTCTCTATCTGACAACTGTCTGTCTTTTTTCCCAAGCTAACAAGTTGCCAAATTGATGATGCGTCTTTCTTCTTTTTTTTTTTTTTGTTGTTATCCAATATTCTTTCTGTCTTTCACACATATACACAAATATATTGACATTGCTAATGGTATGGTAGTAAACATAATGAAGCGTTATTAATTATTTCTTCTTCTTCTTTTTTTATATTCTTTAATTATACTATTGTTATCAATAAAATAATTTCAAGAATTTATCAAGGATAAGAAAGAAAAAAATATTATTTATCAAAAAAAAACTACTGACAAAAAGAAAGCGAAAACAACGATTGTCTTAATATTTTTAGGGTCAGCTTTTCTGTCTCGTCACTGTCATGCAGGAATGTCATGTGTGTGTTGCTTAATTCTTATCTAATTTAGATGAAAATAACAAAAAAAAAACGTATATTATTGAACTTAAACATGTATGTCAGTAAATAGTAAAAAGACCAATTATACCGAAATAAGACCTTGACAAACTTGTTATTTATATTTTATCTATCTTAAATGTTTTTCTGCAATGTCAATTGATTAACCTTGAATATCTTTTTTTTTCTCCTCAATCTCACCTAAGCGAAACTGACTTGTCAATGGACCTAACTAAATTTTACTTGACTAATGATATTAATTATAGTACATTGATTTATTGTCACTTACTTCGCGTGAATATATTTCAAAATGTTTGATTTGTACAAATAATTCGACACGTAATCGTCGTTTCTCCCAAATAATTTCTAATTCATTAGTTTTTTTACGAATTGATTCAATTAAATTTAATAAATGTGTATATTGTGGTGATGGTGTTGTATCAGTTGGCGTTATCTTTGATTGAACTTCACTATAGGTAAAAAAGAAAAAAGAAAGTTTTTATATAATTTCAATTTGTATTAGTTTTGTTGGATTGACAAATTCAAAATGTATATAAAATGCTCTTTCAAATTTGTAAAAAGAAAAGAAATCTTATGAAGTTAATAATGTTAACCTTAAACTAAAAATGTTATAATTCACAAGTCAATCAACATTTGCAATAGTAAATAAAAAAGCAAAATAATTTTAAAAGGTTAATAGAATATCTCATAAATATTTTTTTTTAATGATTTTTCTATGATATACTTGAGGTAAAATTAATTATTTTATTGAAAAGAAAAGAACAATTTTCAAAAATCCTATATAATTTAGCAAAACCCAACAGCATCTATCAAAATTTATTGCTGCATAAATCCTCTCATTATAAAATAACAGAGGAAATGATTTTTTTTTCTATAATTTTTTTACATATCGGTCATGTTAACCTCTTATATGTTTTTTTTTTATTTGCCTTTTATTACAATCTACCATTTAGATAGATCAAGTTCTATATGTTAGTTATACTAAACATAGTTTTTTTGTTTAGTTGATTAATTTCCGACGTTAACAAAATATTTGACATAAATTATATTCGACATTTGGATCTTTTTTTCTTCAAATCAACTTTTTTTCTGCTGTCATATTCATTATGTCTAATAATTATATATATATGAAAGGACACTGTACTCTTAATAGATTTTTTTTTCTTTTGAGTTGGATTTTTTATGTTGTTTATTTATTCTAGTTTGTAATTGAATATAAGAAGAAGAAAAAATTAACATACGTTAAATAATCTAAGAGAATTTGTCCTTCTTGTTCAATAGTTACACATGCTTCCATAGCTCCTTCATGTTGTTCTATTAAAGCTTCTAGCATATCTTCACAATTACTAGCAATTATTTCATTATCATCATCATCACCTCCTGTTGTTGACCAAACAAGTTCAACTTGTGCTAACCAATCAGAATACTATAATCAAAAAAAAACAAAAACAAAAGATAGGAAAATTCGATAATCATAATATTTAATAAAAATAAACAAACTTCTTCACAATGTGTATGAAAATTAAGATTAACATCAAGTATATATCGACGTCGAGCAACACGTTCATCAAATTCTCGCATACGTCGTTCAAGATCATGTGCTAATTGATAAATTTTTGTTCGACCTTGATTTAATTGTTTATCAGCATTATCTTCTTCCGTTTTTTGATTATTATTATTTGTTTGAGATTGTTTTTGTTGTTGTAATTGTTCATTATACATATTATCAGCAGCAGCTATTAAATTTTCTGCATTAGTTTTTGTATTCTATGAAAACAAAAAAAAATAAAATAAAATTTATAAAACAATATCAATCAAATCAAACTTTAATCGCCATTTCAAAATCTGTATGCATTTTATCAAGTTTTTTTGCTTGTCGAAGTGATTTTCCAATGCCAACAGCAAGATTTTTTTGTAAAAATGCATCACCATGTTTTTCAATCCAATCAAGAATCTAAAAATAAAACAAAAAAAAATTTCTATGCTTAATTATAATAAAATATTTTTTTTTAAAAACAAATAACCTGTTGAACATCATTAGCAAATGCAACAAAACTAAGTCTTTGTTGTAAATATGCTTTACGTTGATTCCATTTAGCATCAAGATATCGATGATTAACTAAAATCTAGTTAAGAAAATAAAAAACAATATCATAATTTGTAATGATAAAAAATTCGAATTTTACTTCTTGAACTATTTCAAGAATATGTTTAGCACCAGCACGAAAATCAAATTGATAATCAGTTGTTGTCTGTTGTGATGGAGCTACAGAATCAATTATTGCTTTACCATCATTACAAATCTATTAACGAAAAATATATTGAAATATTTGTTTATTTCAATTAAGTCTACAGCAAATCAGACTAAGAATTTATTGTAGATCTTTGAATGAAATTGGTAAAGTATGTTTTTACAAGGAAACTTTCCCAACGGACTAAACTTCAACAAAAATTAGTTAATATTGATTCCAATCCAATTATATCTATATAAGTTTCGAATACTTAAGATGATGTTTTAAATGATATTATCTCTTTTAATACAAATGACATAAGCATAAGAAATTTTATAATTAAAATCTCGAAAATTTTTAATGAGTTATGAATTCATCATATGTAATGTAATTCAATTATACAAAATGATAGCGATATCTGCGGTGTCGGTATGATTATTCTTTGTATCCACACCTTAATTATCACATTTATTCTATTTATATCATTATTACTAAAAGAGATAGTGTCATCGAATAATATGTCGTTGAAAACGTTGTCTGAAGTACTCCAAGCTCATATAGATACAGTTCTATAGAAAGCAGTCTCTTTTTCTTCTTCCATATAAAGTAATTTTCGTTGAGGGATAGAATTTATGGGCCATGCTTTATGTCAATCATGTAGACTCAAATAAGTTTTTAAATGAATGTTGTAAATTTTTGAATTGAGACTTTTTTAAGAAGTAAATCTTAATTAGAATTTATTATTGTGCGAATTTTAGCTTATATCCTTGAATAAGAACATCGATAAGATCTGAAAACATGCACAAGGAACTATTCCCGTTAAGGACAGTCTCTGTACAAAGTTTCAAGTTGAAAAACAGTTTTACGAAGAAAAATCATAATAATCGATTAAGAACTATTGTAAATTTGCAGTATCTATATAACAATATACTAAAGACACGGACTCTTTTCAATGTATTCATAGTTCACGCAGTCTAGAGTTAAAAGCGATTTATCAATTAGAAATCTTCCGATAATAACTGACTGACAAGCTCAATACCATCGAAAAAAGAGTTTCCTTATGTAATAAGATAAACCTAACTCAAAAAAATTGAACATTGTCTAACTCTCTTGAAAAGTTTTCTCTTTCGAACAATAAAGAAGTCATTAATTAGTGTTTCCGAGAATTCTATGTTACATGATCAAACCATAGGAAAAATATTTTTAGAATATATATACATATTTTTAGTCATCCTTTCTGGTAGATTTGAAGATAATAATTGCCATCTGTCATATCTGTTTTTGCGTATCTGATGACCTTCACTAAATAATAACATAAATTCGACACCTGGTTGGATAGACACTTAGGCACATTTTTTCTTAAACAAATATTAGATAGAGTGAAACAACCGGAATTCAAAAATCAACCTTGAAATATCGATATTCAGTTTTTGATAGAATTAAACCGTCTGGAATATTATTCATAATTTAAATTTCATCTGGTAACGATCAGTGAAGAAATTTTTTAATTTGAATGTAAAGAAAAAAAGAAGAAAATTTTTGTTTTCTAAAGTAATTCTCGGAATTGCTAAGCATAGTAAAACAAACATGTACTCGTTAACTCCAATACAATATGTCAGAATATTATCATAAACACTCCTACAGCATAAAACATGTTTTTTCCATGAAACTTCCTTTTTTTAGATATCAAAGAACGTCAAATGATATATAACACAAGATATTTTCTCGAAAAAAAACCATAGTATCAGCAATGATTATCCTTAGAAGTTTTTCTCTCAAAATGTTTTTCTGTTAAAAGTTCAACATAATAGGATAAATATCGATATTGAACATACTTGAGCATAAATTCTTGAAATATTTTCTGATAAATTAAAATGTTGTTGAAGTAAACGTTCTAAATGTTCCATACTTTCAATTGTTGTTAAATCATCTGTTAATGAACATAAATGTTTCCATGTTGGTACTTGTACAAGATACTATAAATAAAAAAAAACAAAGAATTTATTTTTTTAGAAGAGAAAAACCAAAAAAAAAAAAACTTTATGTTACTTCATCAGCTTTTTGATGAAATTGAAGTGAAGCTGTTAAAATATTTGTACGATTATCAAGTAATCGTGTTAAACTTTGCCATTCATCATTTAAACGATTCATTTGATTTTTAATTGCATTTGTTGCATAATGTCCACTTGATATAAGTCGATCACCAACATTTTGTGTTCGACGAATAACTGTTTCATTATTCTTTAATTTAACATATATATTATTATTTCAATTAAACATAAATATTGATTTACTTACTAAACAAACTTTAGCAAATTGTTCATGTTCAGCTAAAAGTTGCATAGCTTGAGAACAACTCGAACCAATATCAGTATATTTTGGTCCAAGAATCGATCGACTATTTCCAATCCATGCACATAACTTTAATAAAACAAAAAAAATTTTCTTATGATATATTATTAACGAAAATAAAACATAGGTTTACTATGGTTTAAATTCATATTGGATCCAAAAGTATGTCTTAATGAGAATAGCAAAAGCCTATATAGGTTCGTTTATGTTGATCTTGAGCGGCTACTTGTGATCCAAAATTTTGCAGATAAATATCAAGACTTTATTTTTTTTACTCATTAAATGAACATTATCTCGGTTGAAAATCGATTTGACACTCGAAAAAGTTCCCTTTATCAATCAAATTTCTTTCATTTGATAATAAGATATACAGAGTGATCCAAAAGTCAGTTTACCAAAGAAAACAATAATCTGAATATCTTTGCTATATTATGACCATATAAGATAATTCATTTATCTCTGGTAAATAAGTGTTTATAGGTCATATTCATAAGAAAAACATTGACAACCACTGTTTTGAAGTATTATCATTGACTTCAATACAAACAACTATAACCTTTTTGCGAGTTATGAAACAGCAATATAATTATTCCCTTGATTATAAGTAACTTATACATAATTCTTTTTTTTATTAATACTCAAGACTATTATCATTTGATGTGCAAATTTATATTATAGATTCATGTCTTGTTTGCCGAGAAAACTTCAATGAGGGTTACAGTTCTTTTTTTGAAGTCAACGATAAAACTTCACAACAATAAATATGACTCTATGAACATAGCCCTTCATCATTGGTAAAAAAGACGAAGCTGTTAGCACAATCCCTATGGGATTAAGTTGTGAAACGCGATGACGCTGTTAATATTGTAAAAGAGAGGATTAATTGATATATATATATATATTTCAATTTATGAATTCCTATCTACTATTAATGCAATATATTGCAATGAGTGTGAGGAAAAAAAAGTGAAGGACAACTTTTATACTAATCCTACAATGAACTTTAATCTTACAGCTATGTTAGTCACGTCTGTAGGGGGTTTGAAATTTCTATCCTTATATTTTAACGCTCCTTTATTATATCATCTTTTACAAAAATAAATCGATTTGATAATAGAAAAACTAAATCCTAGAAACTTCTGTCTCAAACTAAAATAGACCTTTTGAATGCTTGTGTATTGATGAAACATATTGAATCAATACGTTCAAATTCTCATTACGTAGACGAAAACATTAATCGATTTATCTGTTTGGAAATTTCCGTAATTGAATATGAAAAAAAAAAAAAAAATCATATTTACTCGATCACAATCTTGTTCAAATAATCTTAATTGTAAATTTTGTTCTAAACGATTTTTTTTCTGATGCCATAATTGAAAACATCGTTCTTTTGCTGAACGAAGATTATCCATAACCTTAGGAAAAAAAAAAAAATTTTGTTTTCTACATTTTTCAAATAAATTTCTTACTAATGAAATTTTTCTTGCTTCATCAAAATAATCAAATGGATATGTTCGTTGTTGATGTGATTTTAACATTGAATTTTCATTTTCAACATTATTTCCTCTTAACATATTTAATAAATGTTGTCCATCATTTATTAATGGTTCAATATTAACACGTGATAATTGATCTTTAAATACTGTCATATGTGTTTCAATAGCATCTTGTGCTCGAATAACATTATTAGAGCAATCAGCTTGTTGAAGTTCATTATAAAGTAATTCATATGCATGTAAAGTTTCTTTTGAATTATATACAAATGATTCTAAATTCTAAATTAATGAAAAACAAAATTTTCTTTTCTGTTTTTTCTTTTTCAATTTTCGACTTACTAATCGAAAATCCAACCAACGAATATGATTATATGGAAATGTTCCATTTAAATCTGGTGTTAATTGATTACGATCAATAGCATAAGTTAAACTTTCAAGTGATTCAACAGAATGCTGAAAACAAAACATTGATCTTACAATAAGGCCGTCATTTTTTTGTACAACTTTTTAGAATTTTAAATAGATCATCAAGTATTTAGAATAGATAATCAGATAGTTCTTGAAGCAAATAGATGATTATGAAAGTACTCTTGGATTCAGATATTTACAAACATCATTAAGTTTTTTTTCAGAAAGTATATTGCCGTTCAGTTATTTACTTCATTGTCTGTAGATCTATTATAGCAAACTGTGAATAACTGTATTCAAAATCGAACTCAAACATTAAGGTTCGATGTGTATCTATTCTTATGCAAGTCGATTTTTTTCCTAGGTTAAACCAACTAGTACTGAAAGGTGTCTGATGCAGATCTTTGTTTTTGTGTACTCAAAAAGTGAGTACACTCTAGAATCGGTCAGTGTGTCCGTCCGTCCGGTCGGCCGTTAACACGATAACTTTTGAAAGGAGAGTCCAATCGCAATGAAATTTTCTACACAGTTCATTCTTAACAATGTCTCGGTCGAGTTCGAAGATGAGCAGGATCCGTCAAGAAATGACTGAGTTATAAAAAAAATTGTGATTTTTGACCAGACCATCCCTGA